AATTGTCTCTATTTGGAGACGACATGATAGTATACCTAGAAGACCCCATTGCCTCAGCCCAAAAGCTCCTGAAACTGATAAACAACTTCAGCAAAGTCTCAGGATATAAAATCAATGTGCAAAAATCACAAGCATTCGTCTACACCAATAACAGACTTAAGAAAGCCAAATCAAGAGCGAACTGCCATTCGCAATTGCTACAAAAAGAATAAAATACCTTGGAATACAACTCACAAGGAACGTAAGGGACCTCTTCAAGGAGAACTACAAACCACTGCTCAACGAAATCAGAGAGGACACAAACAGATGGAGAAACATTCCATGTTCATGGTTAGAAAGAATTAATATCGTGAAAATGGCTATACTGCCCAAAGTAATTTACAGAATCAACGCTATCCCTATCAAGGTACCATTGACTTTCTTCACAGAACTGGAAACCATGAACTTCATATGGAAGCAAAAGTGAGCCCGCATAGCCAAGTCAATTCTAAGCAAAAAGAACACAGCGGGGGGCATCACACTACCGGATTTCAAACGATACTACAAGGCTACAGTAATCAAAACAGCATGGTACTGGTACCAAAACAGAGATATAGACCAATGGAACAAAACAGAGGCACCGGAGGCAACACAACATACATACAACTATACAATCTTTGATAAACCTGACAAAACAAGCAATGGGGCAAGGATTCCATGTATTACAAATGGTGTTGGGAAAACTGGCTAGCCATGTGCAGAAAGCAGAAACTGGACCCCTTCCTGACACCTTACACTAAAATTAACTCCAGATGGATTAAAGACTTAAACATAAGACCTGGCACCATAAAAACCCTAGAAGGAAATCTAGGCAAAACTATCCAGGACATAGGAGTAGGCAAGGACTTCATGAACAAAACACCAAAAGCATTGGAAACAAAAGCCAAAATAGAAACTCCACAGCTTCTGCACGGCAAAAGAAACAGTCACTAGAGTGGATCGGCAACCAACAGAATGGGAAAAAATTTTCGCAGTCTACCCATCTGACAAAGGGCTGATATCCAGAATTTACAAAGAACTCAAACAGATTTACAGGAAAAAAACAAACAAGCCCATTCAACAGTGGGCAAAGGATATGAACAGACACTTTACGAAAGAAGACATATATGAGGCCAACAATCATATGAAAAAATGCTCATCGTCACTGGTCATCAGAGAGATGCAAATCAAAACCACATTGAGATACCATCTCACGCCAGTTAGAATGGCGATCATTAAAAAATCTGGAGACAACAGATGCTGGAGAGGATGTGGAGAAAAAGGAACACTTTTACACTGTTGGTGGGAGTGTAAATTAGTTCAACCATTGTGGAAGACAGTGTGGCGATTCCTCAAGGCCTTAGAAATAGAAATTCCATTTGACCCAGCAATCCCAAAAGACTATAAATCGTTCTACTATAAGGACTCATATACACGAATGTTCATTGCAGCACTGTTTACAATAGCAAAGACCTGGAATCAACCCAAATGCCCATTGATAATAGACTGGATTGGAAAAATGTGGCACATATACACCATGGAATATTATGCAGCAATCAGAAATGATGAGTTCGTGTCCTTTGTAGGGACATGGATGAACCTGGAGAACATCATCCTCAGCAAACTGACACAAGAACAGAAAATGAAACACCGCATATTCTCACTCATAGGTGGGTGATGAAAAATGAGAACACATGGACACAGAAAGGGGAGTACTAAACACTGGGGTCTATTGGGGGGAAAACGGGAGGGCCAATGGGAGGGGGAGGTGGGGAGGGATAGCCTGGGGAGAAATGCCAAATATGGGTGAAGAGGAGAAGAAAAGCAAAGCACACTGCCATGTGTGTACCTACGCAACTGTCTTGCATGCTCTGCTCATAAACCTATAATCCAATAAAAAATTAAAAAAAAAAAAGAAAATTAGAAACCTAGATTTTTATTTAGACACTGAAGCAGCATTATAACATGACAGTTTAAGGCTTAATTTATAGATATCTGTGGGATACATGTATAAAAAGCTTTGAATTTTTATCTTTTAATTAGACTCTTTAATAGATAAAGATTTATTTTATTTTCTCATAAGAAGGGCTTGTTTTTAAATTTTTTAAAGTTGACAAAAATTACTTTTTTCAAGACCTGTATTCAAGTCTGATAAATTTGAAGAAATTTTGAAGTATTCTAGCTGACATTTTTTAATTACAGAAAACATCTACATGAGAAATATTTTTTTGCACTAACCAATCATATATTTCTATCTTTTGATTTAATTTAACATCTATTTAACATAGCATTGTGACATTATAATTATGTTTAATTCTGAAATGTTCGCACTTTTTTCTTCAATGGATTGTGATGTTAAACTTATGATTTTATCTAGGAAAAAAGCAAAGCAAGAACAAGGGAGAGGAGAAGAGAAATAAGTATAACATTTTTTTAGATGGAATCTTGCTCTGTCGCTCAGGCTGGACTGCAGTAGCATGATATCGGCTCACTGCAATCTCCACCTCCTAAGTTCAAGCGATTGTTCTGCCTCAGCTTCCGAGTATCTGGGATTATAGGCACCTACCACCAAGCTCACCTAATTTTTGATATTCTTGTCAGAGACAGGGTTTTACCATATTAGCCAGGATGGTCTCGATCTCCAGACCTTGTGATCTGCCCACCTCAGCCTCCCAAAGTGCTGGTATTACAGTCATGAGCTCTTGCCCCTGCTCAAGTATATATATATATTTTTATTGGCTTTGCCTGCCCAGCATCCATTCTCCATTCTTCTGGTAACAGGACTCTATCATTTGGGAGTTAGATCTCACCCACTCTCTTTTCAACAGTGGGCACAGAACCCAGGCCTGATCCAGTGGAGGGTGCATTGATAGGTGTGAAACCCAGGCCTGGGTGATGTTCATCTACTTTAAGAATTAACTTAGTAAAGGACTTTTGGAGATAAAATTGTTTCATGTATGTAAACTTGCTTCTTGAACTTTGTTTGAATCTTAACTTTCAAATGATAGATGTTCAGGTAGGACCCAAGCATTGGTTAACAATCATGAAAATTATTAAGTATCTTAATTGAAAAAAGCATCTGCTTTTGAAATAATATCAAATGATATGAATAGTTTTCTAAAAGATGTAGGTATTAAGAACAACTAGTGAGGAAAACCAACTCCGAATAAAGCAGTCAGGTTTTCAAGAAGCAGCTGGAACTGTGGAAGAAACAAAAACAAAAGCAGAACTGTTCATCCTGTAGACATTGCCTGTGTTACACCAAAGAGCACTGGACCTTGAAGAACAAATATCATAAGGCTAATTGGAAAAATTAAGGTGAGATTCTGGTGATTTAAAAGTGCATTAGAGAGTAGAAAAAGGTAGTTGGATATCAATAAGACACCTTATTTTCTAGAAACAATTCAGAGCAATAAGAAGAAATCATGGTTATCAAAAAACTTAGACAAATATGTTGTTCAAAGAGTGATGATTGTTGTTTCTTTATTTTTTAATTGCATTTTATGTTTTGGGGTACATGTGAAGAACATGCAAGATAGTTGCATAGGTGCACACATGAAAGTGTGATTTGCTGACTTCCTCTTCTTCACCTTTATCTGGCATTTCTCCCCATGCTATCTCTCCCCAACTCCCTACACCCTGCTGTCCCTCCGCTATTCCCCCCAACACACCCCAGTGTGTAGTGCTCCCCTCCCTGTTTCCATGTGTTCTCATTGTTCAACACCCGCTTATGAGTGAGAACATGTGGTATTTCATTTTCTGTTCTTGTGTCAGTTGCTGAGAATGATGTTCTACAGGTTCATCCAGGTCCCTACAAAGAACATGAACTCATCGTTTTTGATTGCTGCATAATATTCCCGGGTGAATATGGGCCACATTTTCACTGTCCAGTATACCATCAATGGGCCTTTGGGTTGATTCCAGGTCTTTGATGTTGTAAACATTGCTGCAATGAACATTCGTGTGCATGTGTTCTGATAGTAGAACGATTTATAATCCTTTGGATATATACCCAGTATTAGGATGGCTGGGTCAAATGGAATTCCTATTTCTAGATCCTTCAGGAATTGCCACACTGTCTTCCACAATGGTTGAACTAATTTACACTCTCACCTTCCCTGAAGGAAACCTGAGGACTGTACCAGTCCTACCTGTGCAGCAGGACGAAAGGCCCGTGGAAGAGTATGGTTTTCACTGTGCTGTGCTTGTCTACTTTTTGCAGGAGTGACCCCCCATTGGGATGAAAAGGCGATTAGGAGAGCTGCGGGTGGGAGCCAGACCCCCACTACAATAAGACTTTAGAAACCAGGAGCAACACAAAGAAGGCGGGGCCCCACAGCGCCTAAGCCACATCCACCAGAAGGTAGAAAGACTAGAGAGCAACCTTGCCTGAGTGCACAGGCCACACTTACGTTCAGCATACACGACTCGAACACACACATATAAACACGCAGAAAAATACACATGGACACACATAGACACACACACACACACACACACACACACAGAGACACACATACAGAAAGACACACGGAGACATCCAACAGTTGCAGACAGCTCCTGAGGCTGTGGGGTTCTGCTCTCTGCCAGGAAGCCCCTCAGGGAGAGAGCAGCCCCCAGCACACAGGCTGGCAGTATCCGGAATTCCCAGCAGGGACAGTTTTCAAGGAGACGCATCCCCCACAGCATCTGAGGAGGCCTGAAGTATCCTGGGGATTCTTGGGGATCGCCCTGGGCATCCCTGAAGCTCCTCTGCAGCTTTCCTCAGCCTGGCTCCGCCCTGCAGAAACTACTGAAATTGCGGTACTGTGGCGACGGTCGACGTTAGATAGGGGGTCGTTGCCCCACGGAGGGCCCCTGCCTGGCCAAGCCGCTGAGACGGCGGTTTCCCAGGCCACGGGGGCGGTCACTGTGACGTGACCCTCGGGTGGGCGCTCGCGCTTGCCACCCGCCGACTGCGCATGAGCATTGGTATTCCCGGCTGGCCAGCCGCTATGTCTGCACCCCCACCAGCCGGCAGCAGTGGCTTGGAAAAACGCTGGCGGAGGTGTCTTAGGCGGCCCCTGGAAAGAAGGCTGCGGGCCACAAGCAGGGCAGGAGCCCTATCGTCCTGACTTCAGCGGCTCCCTGAAGCGGTTTTCCTATTCCGGTCCTCTGAAGGGGAAGGAAGCTTCAGAAAACGAGGTGGGTATTTTGGACTACTCTCCCCAGTAGATTCTGGGTAAGACGGCATGGGCAGGGATGGGGTCCCAAGGGGCTGGAGATTCAGTCTGGTGAGGTGTGGTGGGGGTCCCTGGACCCCGGAAAGATGCCTGAGACCCTCCGGGAAGGCGAATGTTCCCAGCTCCCTAGACTCACTGCCTCTCCTGAGACCTGGGCCACCCACCAAGGGGCCCTGCCTAGTGCTCTGAAAGCCCAGGGAACCCTGCTTCTCATCACTGCTGTCCGGAGAAGGCGGCAAGAAAGGAAAAGCTGCGGCATGTGCAGCCTGCAGTAGAGGAGGCAACAACTACAGCTGGCCTCCCCTGGGGGCAGATTGGGTGAAGACAGCTTCTCAGAAGCTCTCTGGGGTGAAGCCAAATCCCGAGACGGATATCCAGGCATGTTGCTGAGGACACCGATGAACGCCAGGCACAACATGCTAACGCATTTAGTCACTTTATTGTTTCAACAGAAAACTTCATCATCTTGCCACCAAGTGTTTTGACCAAAATTGCTTTGATGGCCTCTACACTGAGACCCCTTGTCAACTTGAACTGTCGAGAGAAAAATAATTCTCAGTGTAAAAAATGCAGATTCTCACTCTTATGGACACATAAGTCGGATGTAACCGTGTGTGGAAGGTGAATCAGTGGATGAAATCTGTTTCTGAAGGACTGTTTTCACTAAATTCTATTTTATGGCAGGTCCTACCCTGCGGTTTGGTTTTACTTGTTTGCTGTTATGAGCAAATCATAAACACAGAACCTTCATCCCCTCCACACAAGCTTCTAGCATCCAACTTACCTGACAGGAGTTTCATTGTCTCCAGTTCCCTTGCAAATTGCACATTCAGATCTCCAGTCTTCAGCCTGGGGTTTCTTTTACAGCACAAACCCTCTTTGTCTTCTCTCCGTAGGAACTCTTTCCTGCCATCCAAGAGCCAATAAAAGAAAACAGGATAAGGATATAACGGAAATAATTTTCAGAAAGAAATCTTCTCAAAGGTAAGGCTGTGGAAAGGTGTGTAACTTCTTCGAACCTCATGTTTTCCTCCCTCAGGAACGAAGCTCTGTTTTCCTCCTCTGATTCTCTGGGAGAACTACAATAGCAAGAACAACATGGAATCAGGGGTTTGCTTAAGGACAAAATAAGTTTCCTCTGTCAAACATAGTGGCTTTAGTTAGGCTCTTGAGGAAATATCTATTTATCATTCATACTTTATGGGAACAGTATATGTTGTGACAATCGATGCCATGGAAAATGAAAAGTAACAAATTAAATGTACTGTATGTATACTTTCATAAATGTCTGTGATTAGCATTTACTCAAAGCATGTCAGTTTTCTGATCTTGTCCGGTGTGACTTCTACAGCTGAAATGCTAAACCTGGGATTGTCCTACACACGTAGTTTGGCCGCAGGTAGGCAGGTGCATGCATCTTTATGGACAGAGAGAATATCTCAGCAGCAGAAAAAGAGTAGAAGAAAAGGTCTCACAGCTCCTAAGTCCTAGTTAAGGTCAAACCAGTTACAATGCCATAGAAAGCATTCCTGAAAAGTAATTCAGCTAAAATTCACATTGTACAGTTCAGATTACATTGACCATTTCAATATGAAGGTATACAGATGTTTAAGAAAAACTGTAAATACCTTGGTGTGCTCAATCTAAACAAAACGAGGTGACAGGTGATTCAACCCACCCACCTTTCTGTATGATGTACTGCTTTTCTCCTGTCACCCAGGCTGGAGTGAAACGCTGCGATCTCGATTATTGCAACAACTGCATATTGGGTTCCAATGGCCGTTCTGCTGATGCCTTTAAAGTAACTGTGGTTGAATATGTCAACACCACCTGAAACAGACAACTTTCTGTTTATTTTCGTGAACCTAAAATCTATGTGTATTTGATTTGTACAAAACAGTTACAACAGCAAAACTAAGCGAATAAAAAAAAACCAGAATGCTGCCTAGCGATTCGTCCTTGCGCTGAGGCCTTTCGGAGCTTCTATGTAGAGTCCCAATTTTAGTGTACTTACTGCCGAAGCGAGCACATGTCGTGCCCGGCTCAGCCTTTTTATTTCTTTCGGTTTTTATGTGGTTTATAGCAAGCGGGTAGTCTGTCGAGGCCTGTCTCGAATCTGTGATCTCACTCTTTGCCCGGTTCGACAATCCACTGTCATGAGATTACTAGTGTGATGCGCCGAGCCTAACTTAAGTTTTGCTTTTGTTCTGAAGACGCAGGTTTCCCATAACGGTCTGGCGAGTTTTAAAAACGCATCCACGAAATTTTTTGTGCGCTGGTCTTTGAAGCGCCTCAAGACAGGTTCCTGTGAGCCACCGTACCTGGCAGGCCGAGTTGTATGTTAACAAGAGAGAACGGAGTGACATTTCCCACCACTGTGTGTAATACCAGCTATCCTAGCTATTTGGGATGTCGAGGTGGGCGGTTCACCTGAGGTCACGAGTTCCGGGTCAGCCTGGGCATCTCGGTGAAAACACACTTCACTTAAAAAAAAAAGAAGTAGAAAAAAATCACAGAAATCAGCCAAATTGGTGGGCTCAATCTGAGCAAAACGAGGTGCCAGGAGGATCCAACCCCCACCTTACCTTTGTATGACGTACTGCTTTTCTCCTGTCACTCGGGCTGAATTGAAACACTGCGATCTCGGCTTATTGCCACAATTGCATAGTGGGTTCCAGCGGCCGTTCTGCCGATTCCTTTCAAGTAACTGTGGTTGAATATGTCAACACCACCTGGAAAAGACAACTTTCTGTTTATTTTATGAACCTGAAAGCTATCTGTATTTGATTTGTACAAAACAGTTACAACGGCAAAACTAAATGAATAAATATAAAACGGAAAGCTGCGTAGCGGTTCATCCTTGCACTGAGGCCCCTTCGGGCTTTCATGTAGAGTCCCAATTTTAGTGTACGTGCTGCCATAGCGAGCAGACGCCATGCCTGGCTCAACTTTTTTATTTCTTATGGTTTATATGTGGTTTATAACAAGCCAATAGCACAGTGTCGGTCGAGGCCTGTCTCAAATTTGTGATCTCACTGTCTGCACTTCTCGATATTGCACTTTCCTGGGTTTACAGGTGTGGTGCTCAGACGGAGATTTCCCATATTGGTTGGTCGGGTCTCGAAAATGCATTCTCGAAATTTTCTTTGCGCTGGTCTTCGAAGCGCCTGAATGACAGTTCCTGTGAGCCACCGTACCTGGCAGGCTGAGTTTCATGTTAACAGGAGAGAACCGAGAGACGTTGCCCAGCACTGTGAGTAACACCAGCTACCCTAGTAATTTGGAAGGTCCAAGTGGGCGGTTTACCTGAGGTCACAAGTTCCCGGTCAGCCTGGGCATCTCGGTGAAAACCCACTTCACTTAAAAAAAAAGAAGTAGAAAAAGAAAATAACAGAAATCAGACAAATTGGTGTGCTCAATGTGAAATTAACAAAATGCCAGTTGGCCCCAATCCCCAACCCGTCTTTCTGTATGACGTACTGCATTTCTCCTGTCACCCAGGCTGTAGTGAAACACTGCAATCTCGGCTTATTGCCAGAACTGCAAAGTGGGTTCCCCGATTCCTTTAGAGTAACTGTGGTTGAATATGTCAACACAACCTGGAACAGACAACTTTCTGTTTATTTTTGATAACCTAAAATCTATCCATATTTGATTTGTACAAAACAGTTACAACGACAAAACTAGATAAATAAATAGAAAATGAAAGGCTGTGTAGCATTCCATCCTTGCGCTGAGGCCTTTTCAAGCTTCTATGTAGAGTCCCAATTATAGTGTACCTGCTGCTAAAGCGAGGAAATGACGTGCCCGGCTCAGCTTTTTTATTTCTCTCGGTTTTTATGTGGTTTATAGCAAGCGGGTAGCACTGTGTCGGTTGAGGCCAGTCTCAAATCTGTGATCTCACTGTCCGCCCAACTCAACATTCCACTGTCATGGGATTACAGCTGTGATGTGCTGAACCTAACCCAAGTTTTGTTTTTGTTCTGAAGACAGATTTCCCATATTGGTTGGGCGGGTCTCGAACACGCATCCTCGAAATTTTTCTCTTCGAAGCGGCTAAATTACAAGTTCCTGTGAGCCACCCTGGCAAGCTGAGTTTCATGTTAACAGGAGAGAACGAAGAGACGTTGCCCAACACTGTGAGTATCATCAGCTATCCTAGCCATTTGAAAGGTCGAGGTGGGTGGTTCACCTGAGGTCACGAGTTCCATGTCAGCTTGGGCATCTCGAAGAAAACCCACTTACTTAAAAAAAAGAAGTTGAAGAAGAAAATCACAGAAATCAGACAAATTGTAGTGCTTAATCTGAACAAACGAGGTGCCAGGTAGCTCCAACCCTTACACCACCTTTCTGTATGACATACTGCTTTTCTCCTGTAACCCGGGCTGGAGTGAAACACTGTGATCTCGGCTTATTGCCACAACTGTACAGTGGGTTCCAGCGGCCGTTCTGCCAATGCCTTTCAAGTACCTGTGGTTGAATATTTCAACACCATCTGCAACAGACAACTTTCTGCTTATTTTTGTGAACCTAAAATATTTGTACAAAACATTTAAAACGGCAAAACTAAATGAATAAATAGAAAACGGAACGCTGTGTAGCGTTTCATCCTTGCGCTGAGGTCTATTCGGGCTTCTATGTAGAGTTTCAATTTTAGTGTACTTGCTGCTGAAGCGAGCATGTGCCCTGCCTGGCTCAGCTTTATTTCTTTTGGTTTTTACGTGGTTTATAGCAGGCAAGAGGCACTGTGTCGGTCGAGGCCCGTCTCAAACCAGTGATCTCCCTGTCCGCTCGGCTCAACATTTCACTGTCATGGGATTACAGGTGTGATGTGCCGAGCCTAACCCAAGTTTTTTTCCGTTCTGAAAACGGAGATTTTTCATATTTGTCGGGCATGTCTCTAACACGCATCCTCGAAATTTCCTTTGTGTTGGTCTTTGAAGCGCCTTAATGACAGGTTCCTCTGAGCCACCCTACCTGGCAGGCCGAGTTTCATGCTAGCACTGAGGCTTCTTCAAGCTTCCTATGTAGAGTCCCAATTTCAGTGTATGTGCTGCCGAATCAAGCACATGCCATGCCCGGCTAAGCTTTTCTTATTTCTTTGGTTTTTATGTTGTTTATAACAAGCGGGAAGCCCTGTGTCTGTCGAGGCCAGTCTCAAATTTGTGATCTCACGGTCGGCCCGGCTTGACTTTCCACTGTCATGGAATAAGAGTTGAGATGCGCTGAGCCTAACCCAAGTTTCGTTTCCGTTCTGAAGAGAAAAATTTGCCATGTTGGTCAGGCGGGTCTCCAACATGCGTCCTCGAAATTTTCTTTCCGTTGGTCTCCGAACTGCCTATATGACAGGTTCCGCAGAGCAACCGTACCTGGCAGGCCGAGTTTCATGTTAGCGCTGAGGCTTGTTCAAGCTTCTATTTAGAGTCCCAATTTCAGTGTATGTGCTTCAGAAGCGAGCACATGAGGTGCCCGGCTTAGCTTCTTTATTTCTTTAGATTTTTTTTTTTTAACTTTTTTATTGGATTGCAAGACAGTTGCGTAGGTACACACATGGCAGTGTGCTTTGCTTTTCTTCTCCCCTTCACCCGCATTTGGCATTTCTCCCCAGGCTATCCCTCCCCACCTCCCCCTCCCACTGGCCCTCCCCTTTTCCCCCAATAGACCCCAGTGTTTAGTACTCCCCTCTCTGTGTCCATGTGTTCTCATTTTCATCACCCGCCTATGAGTGAGAATATGCGGTGTTTCATTTTCTGTTCTGTGTCAGTTTGCTGAGGATGATGTTCTCCAGATTCATCCATGTCCCTACAAACGACACAAACTCATCATTTCTGATTGCTGCATAATATTCCATGGTGTATATTTGCAACATTTTTCCAATCCATTCTATTATCAATGGGCATTTGGGTTGATTCCAGGTCTTTGCTATTGTAAACAGTGCTGCAATGAACATTCGTGTACATGTGTCCTTATAGTAGAACGATTTATAGTCTTTTGGATATACCCAGTAATGGGATTGCTGGTTCAAATGGAATTTCTATTTCTAAGGCCTTGAGGAATCGCCACGCCGTCTTCCACAATGGTTGAACTAATTACACTCCCACCAACAGTGTAAAAGTGTTCCTTTTTCTCCGCATCCTCTCCAGCATCTGTTGTCTCCAGATTTTTTAATGATCGCCATTCTAACTGGCGTGAGATGGTATCTCAATGTGGTTTTGATTTGCATCTCTCTGATGATCAGTGACGATGAGCATTTTTTCATATGATTGTTGGCCTCATATATGTTTTCTTTCGTAAAGTATCTGTTCATATCCTTTGCCCACTTATGAATGGGCTTGTTTGTTTTTTTCCTGTAAATCTGTTTGAGTTCCTTGTAAATTCTGGATATCAGCCCTTTGTCAGATGGGTAACTGCAAAAAGTTTTTCCCATTCTGTTGGTTGCCGATCCACTCTAGTGACTGTTTCTTTTGCCGTGCAGAAGCTGTGGAGTTTGATTAGGTGTCCCATTTGTCTATTTTGGCTTTTGTTGCCAATGCTTTTGGTGTTTTGTTCATGAAGTCCTTGCCTACTCCTATGTCCTGGATAGTTTTGCCTAGATTTCCTTCTAGGGTTTTTATGGTGCCAGGTCTTATGTTTAAGTCTTTAATCCATCTGGAGTTAATTTTAGTGTAAGGTGTCAGGAAGGGGTCCAGTTTCTGCTTTCTGCACATGGCTAGCCAGTTTTCCCAACACCATTTGTTAAACATGGAATCCTTTCCCCATTGCTTGTTTTTGTCAGGTTTATCAAAGATTGTATAGTTGTATGTATGTTGTGTTGCCTCCGGTGCCTCTGTTTTGTTCCATTGGTCTATATCTCTGTTTTGGTACCAGTACCATGCTGTTTTGATTACTGTAGCCTTGTAGTATAGTTTGAAATCCGGTAGTGTGATGCCCCCCGCTGTGTTCTTTTTGCTTAGAATTGACTTGGCTATGCGGGCTCTCTTTTGGTTCCATATGAAGTTCATGGTTTTTTCCAGTTCTGTGAAGAAAGTCAATGGTAGCTTGATGGGGATAGTGTTGATTCTGTAAATTACTTTGGGCAATATATCCATTTTCACGATATTAATTCTTCCTAACCATGAACATGGAATGTTTCTCCATCTGTTTGTGTCTTCTCTGATTTCGTTGAGCAGTGGTTTGTAGTTCTCCTTGAAGAGGTCTCTTACGTTCCTTGTGAGTTGTATTCCAAGGTATTTTATTCTTTTTGTAGCAATTGCGAATGGCAGTTCGTTCTTGATTTGGCTTTCCTTAAGTCTGTTATTGGTGTAGACGAATGCTTGTGATTTTTGCACATTGATTTTATATCCTGAGACTTTGCTGAAGTTGCTTATCAGTTTCAGGAATTTCTGGGCTGAGGCAATGGGGTCTTCTAGGTATACTATCATGTCGTCTGCAAATAGAGACAGTTTGGCTTCCACCTTTCCTATTTGAATACCCTTTATTCTTTTTCTTGCCTGATTGTCTGGCTAGAACTTCCAGTACTATATTGAATAGGAGTGGTGAAAGAGGGCATCCTTGTCTAGTGCCAGATTTCAAAGGGAATGCTTCCACTTTTTGCCCATTCAGTATGATATTGGCTGTTGGTTTTTCATAAATAGCTTTTATTACTTTGAGATACGTTCCATCGATACCGAGTTTATTGAGGGTTTTTAGCATAAAGGGCTGTTGAATTTTGTCAAATGCCTTCTCTGCGTCAATTGAGATAATCATGTGGTTTTTGTTTTTGGTTCTGTTTATGTGGTAAATTACATTTATAGACTTGTGTATGTTGAAGCAGCCTTGCATCCCCGGGATGAATCCTACTTGATCATGATAAATAAGTTTTTTGATTTGCTGTTGCAATCGGCTTGCCAATATTTTATTGAAGATTTTTGCATCTATGTTCATCATGGATATTGGCCTGAAGTTTTCTTTTCTTGTTGGGTCTCTGCCGGGTTTGGTATCAGAATGATGTTGGTCTCTAAAATGATTTGGGAAGGATTCCCTCTTTTTGGATTGTTTGAAATAGTTTTAGAAGAAATGGTGCCAGCTCTTCCTTGTGTGTCTGGTAGAATTCGGCTGTGAACCCGTCTGGACCTGGGCTTTTTTTGTGTGGTAGGCTCTTAATTGCTGCCTCGACTTCAGACCTTGTTA